ATTTTTAATGCTGGGCAAAACCGAACCCCTAAGGTAGGGCATAGATTCCCCGTAAACCCCGTAAAAAACGGGGTCAGACGAGACTCTGCCATTCGGCATAGCCTTGTTTGAGTTCCTATCTACCCGAAGGCAGAGAGTTTGACCAGCAAAGCTGGTGACGAATCTCCAACTAATTGCCGAAGAAAGTTTATTTACCTCACCACCCCGCGAGGCAGGATGTGGCAAAAGGCTGTTTTAATGCGGGGGGGGATCGAGCCCGTAGGATCGGGCAAAAACTCCCCGTAGGCCACGTATACACGGGGTCGGGTAGCTGTCTACCACCGCCGACGAGATTCTGACCTTCGGCATCTGGGAACCTCTCCGCCTGAAGGCAGGGTGTTCGACCAGCACAGCCGGAGTCGAATCTCCAATTAATTGCCGAAGCAAGGTTATTTACCTTACCTCCCTGCGAGTAGGATGTGGCACAAGGCCTTTTTTAATGCGGGGTGAAAAACTGACCCCGTAGGCTAGGGCAAAAATTCCCCGTAGACTCCGTATACACGGGGTCGGGTAGCTATCTACCACCCCAGACGAGATTCTGCTCATGTATATCCTCTTCTCACTATATAGCTACTGATATAGTCAGACCACATCGGCGATAGGGAGTGTGGGACATTCCATTACAACAACATATTATGAGGATATGTAGGATAGATAACCCTTGTGTCTAGACTTGAAGAGAATAATATTGTCGTAAAAGGGAACCATACTTTTGCGAGTCTGTTTCAGAAAGTGACTGTTCTGGTCATTTTGCGGTCAAAGTAGAACTTCCTCCTTACTAAAGGAATTTGTAGGAATGAGAGTAAGTTTAACCTGTTTATATTGTAAATGGTTTGCAACCAGCGGTCTATTTTCAAATACGTTTACCCATAAAAAATTATAATTAATATCAGGTTAAAAATAAATCCATTAGCTGCATAAATAATTTTTTTCGTATCACAAGCACGAAAGTAAAAAAAAAAATCACAGATAAAAACTTCAAATTTCACCAAAGAGAGTTGTGCATCTCTCAACTAGGGTAATTGAACCTCGCCTTGCTGTAAGGGACACCATCACTGAAGCAGTAACGGCTAGCATGAATACAAGATGGTTTCCCACAGATAAAGTGGATGCAGTTTCAATCCTTGTCAAGAGGTACATTTTCTTTATATAAGAATTTCAACGATCGGCGTTTAATTTCACTGTTTAGAAATCTATTCCACACGCATATCCAAGGTTGCAACACTTGCTATTTCCAAGCGGTCATGCACCTCAGAACAGACCTGGCTTGATGTTGCTTAACTGGTGTTTCAACGTCATATGTTCGTAAGACATATGTGCGGGTCGTAGATCAGAAGGACCGGGGAACCGGCAGATACTACACTCTGATCCTGGGTAGAATAGCGTAACGGTCAGACATACAAACAAACCAAATAAATGTATAGATCAGAAATGTCGGAGATCGAACAGATACTACACTCTGATCCTGGGTAGAATAGCGTAACGGTCAGACATACAAACAAACCAAATAAATGTATGGATCAGAAATGTCGGAGATCGAACAGATACTACACTCTGATCCTGAAAAGAAAAATGTAATGGTTGGACATACAAACAAACCAAATCATCGTATAGATCAAAAAGGGCCGAAAATAGGACAGATACTACACTCTGATCCTGGGTAGAAAAGCGTTATGGTCGGACATACAAACAAACCAAATCATCGTATAGATCAGAAAGGACCGAAAATAGGACAGATACTACACTCTGATCCTGGGTAGAAAACCGTAACGGTTGGATATACAAACAAACTAAATCGTCGTATAGATCAGAAATGACCGAAGATAGGACAGATACTACACTCTGATCCTGGGTACAATAGCGTTCTGGTCGAACATAATAACAAACAGCTTAATCCTATAGATAAGAAAATATTATACGCTGATCCTGGGTATAAAAACTTGAACAGCTTTCTAGAACAATAAACATTCGACCATATAAAAATAGAACAACTGCATTTGATAAAAGTAATTTTGTCTCAAAGAAAAAAAGAAGAAAAGAAACACAAATCGACTTTTTGTGGACTCATAAAAATAGTTACGTTTTTGTGAATTTTGATTGCCTATTGGGTGAGATCCAACTCATTAAGATCGGTCTCTGCCATATTCAAATCCATGGCAAACGAACTAGTTGAATGCTTGATTACAGACTGAAAATGTGAAGCGCTGATTCATTTATTTTCCATGCGAAAAGAGCTACTATATTTGCATATTCGAGCGAAACCCTCAAAGACAGTGATAAGGTAACACAATAAATATAGAGATTTTTCAATCGCTTTGTGTATATCTGACCAATCAATCCAGTTACAATATAAATAGCTTGGCTTGCTGTGATGGAATCTAAGCAATGATGAGGTCCACTATTTTGGTCAAACAATAGACAAATATGGCGCTCACTGTGAAACACTGGCAATGCGCAGGCGCAGAAGACTTATGATAACTCCAGGCTGAAGAGATAGAGTCCGCAAATATATTAACTCCAAAATGAATGTTTTCCTGAATGTCTTTAATGAAACGCAAAGACCCTGGGTGTATTTTATAACCAGCAGATTAATATAAAGAAATTGACGAATGGAGACGAATAAAATTATGCCTGATTTACCCAATATGCTGTATTTAAAAATGTTAGGTTTCGGATCTGCCATGCAAGGTACTATTAAAGGAATTAAAACAAATATATTCCTTCACAATATTTGGGTGACAGTCTGATTAACTTCTCCTATATACTGATTCCCTTCAGGACGTAGACGATAACAGCTCTCCACAACGTCTTGTCTTTTGTAGCCCTTAGTAAAGTTTGTCTTTTCTCCTAATCTTTTTTCTCCCAACTATTTACACAAGGTCGTTAGATACGCGCTGTTTCTTCTGCTCCTCTTGCTTTGAATATGTCCTGTGAGTGTTAAAATTTCCAAGCCCTCTTTCCTTATGATGTGCCCTAGAAGTTTCAACTGAGTCTAGTTTGTTATTTATAATTTTTATTCTGTCAAGCTAGATCGGACATTCATGGGGCTATCACCCGAACACTCACTATCCTGCATCGAGGTCGGAAGAACATTAGGGAAGTATTCTGTGTCAAGACGTGGTTGCTAGGCTTGTTTTGCGACATTGCTAGGTTTCCAGAATAGCAGACCATTCGCAAATTCCTGTTTTGCTCACCAGCCGTGTTTTGCAAAGCGTATTCTTATTTCGCGTAAGATTGTAGAAATATCACGGATGGATCCATCGAGCTATGACTGTGTTGGAGATGTTATGTATAGCTCTCAGTGTAGGTTCCATTAAGATTAGATTCTAGGATTTTAGCTATTGTCTAAGCAGTGGCACCATACATTAAAACCGACTCAACAGTCGCTCGAACGAATCTGTTTGAGTTTGTCTGGTAGAGCAGATATTCAGTTTACATCCATTTTATTCAAGGTGGCCCAGCCATTAGCTGTGTGGATTTTCACATCATTTTCAGTAGAATTCATCTAGCTTTCTAGGTATTTTTTTTACTTTAAACATTTTACCCCAAGCAAAATGGGAGTGTCACTAGCACACAAGGGGTTACAGAGAGTAAGAACAAGAGTAAAGAGGGGTGTTTGAGGAAAGAATAAAGAGAAAGACAGGGATCAGGATCAAGACATCAGAAGATGTCGATTGACATTACATTTGAATATTTGAAGATTATAGCTATCAGAGAAGCAAGTAGGAGGAAGGGAGTCCCCATCTCTGTCCCATAATGATTGTTCAATTTACGTACAAATTTCATAGACTAAATGGAACAATCATTATGGGACAAGTAAGAGGAAGAGAGTTTCACTGCCGGGAAGTGCAAGAGAAGCTGTTGGAGTAGAAGAGGCGGTTACATTTAACTGTTTCGACAGTGAATGGATGGAACCGAGATGCCAGCCTAGTAGAACGCTTAAATTCATGCAGTTGAGCCACAAATGAAAGTAGCTCGTCTGAGCAGATGTCATGAAAATATGTGTAGAAAAGACAGAGGGAAGTCACAGCATGTTTGTGAGAAAGTGACTCTAGACGAGATTCCCGATCAGGACCTATCACATTGCATATCCGCTTCTGGATTTTTTCTAGAACCTCGAGATTACCAGCAGGGGCAGCAGACCATATATGGCAACAGGATTCAATGCAGGGACGAATGGTAGATTTTTAGATGTTAAGGATGGACTCAGGCGAGGAAAAACATCTGGCGAGAAAAAGAGAAACAACTTTCCTTGCGGTAGATGAAGCTATTGATTCACTGTAGTTGTTCAACCTAAGGTCAGTGGAAAGCGTGACACCAAGCAGGCGCAGAAAGACGCTCTCGTGAAGGTGAAAATCAGCCATTTTGGTGTAAATGATTCGACAGATTCAGCTATTGAGCGTTACTCGATAAAACCTATGAATCCAGTACTAGAGCCATCGACATAGAGTCCATCATCGTCAGCAGCATTTTCTTGATGATGTAGGAGAACTGTGACATTAGTCATTTTTGATCCCATTTTCTCTACACCTTCGTCATTGCTCACGTGTTAAGTCCATGGTATTCTCAGTATCCTTCTGTAGAACGTCAATTCCGTTGCTTCAAGGCTTTTCTCTATCTGTAATGAGATTGGCCAGCATGTAAGATTACAGATATTAAATGGTAGTACGCTACAGATAAAGATTTTTACAATCAGGATATTCGTTTTTTTTTACTGCTTATCAACCGTTTGTAGTTTATTTAAGACAGAAAATGTTTTTTTTTTTAGATACTAATGGTTTAGTGATACTAAATCCTAATAATTAACCTAAAGATAGTGGAGAGAATAGATGGATTCATATTTTTCTTAAGGGATTATATTTGCGCGTAAGGAAATATGTCGAAAGCAACGCGAAATGGAACTTAGCTCTCCGATTAAAATTTCTGAGCCATTATTCATGACACAACCAACACATTCAAACTTACAACAGATGGTTTTCCTAAGCGGTTACCCATATCGGTACTGACCAAGCTCGACGTGGCTTAACTTCGGTGATCGTACAGGAACCTATGTTTCATCGTAATGCGGCCGTAAGTCTTCGGGGCTTTGATAATGATAATATTGATTTATACTGTCAAGATTAACGTACTATCAAAGAACTTGATATTAATATCGGAGTTTAACAGAACAAGATAATATCTTTCGAAACAGAACGTGGATGTTATGGAAATGGTTTTGTCATCAATGCCATATGGAAGAATAGAGTCCGCAGACACTGAAAAGTCTAAGTCACAGTATCATGATTTGCACTTCGAGAGAAATAGGAAGTAATCTGAAATCTAAAATGTGAAGAAAAAAAAAATTAAATTAAATGACTGTCTCGAATAACGGCGTAAAAGAAGAGCTTAGATTGATTGACTTGTTCTTTACGGGTTATCAACCTTTTGCACGTTATTTAAAGCCAGAAAATATGTTTTAGACTGTAAAAAAGTTTTTTGGAGATAACAATGAGTTACTGACGAAAATCCTACTAATTAACCCATAGCTGGGGAGAAAATGTAGGTTATGCATTTTCCAAGGCTATTTACGCGTAAGTGAATATAGACCCGGCTGGAATTAGAGCTCTGCTTTCCGATCTCCAATTCGGAGCCGTTATCCATTACACTACTCGCATATCCAATTTACTACACCGGGTCTTCTCAAGCGGTCACCCACCTAGGTACTGACCAGACTCGACGTTGCTTAATGAAGAGCTCGGATGGCCTGAGTACTTTTCTGATTTAATAATGGACAGAGAAGTTTGGAGAGGACTGATGTATTAGATACAAATGAAGATTAGAACATAATTTGCAGTGTCTTCAAGTTCATATATATATATATATATATATATATATATATATATATATATATATATATATGCTTGTCCATAATAATCTATCTATATATCTAAGTTCATATCTATCTATTTATTTTGAATATCTATATCTATCTATATATCTCAGTCGTATCATTCTATCTATCTATCTATCTATTCCATTCATCTATCTATCTAGTTCCAAATATATCTATATATATATATATATATATATATCTATGCATTGTTCATCTATCTATCTATAATCTATCTATATATCTATCTATTCATTATTGTTGTTCATATCTATCCTATTTCTATCTCATTTTGTTCATATCTATCTATCTATCTATCTATCTATCTATCTATCTATCTATCTATCTATCTATCTATCTATCTATCTATCTCAGTCTGTTCGTATCTATCTATCTATCTATCTATCTATCTATCTATCTATCTATCTATCTATCTATTCATCTATCTATCTATTCCAGTCTGCTCCATTCATCCCAGTCTATCTATTCATCTATCTATCCATCTATCTATCTATCTATTCATTATCTATCTATCTATCATCTATCTATCTATCTATCTATCTATCCCAGTCTGCTCGTATCTATCTATTCATCTATCTATTCATCTATCTATCTATTCATTATCCAGTCTGTTCGTATATCTATCTATTCCAGTCTGTTCCTATCTATCGAGAAAAATTGTAAAAAAAAAAAAATCGTAGGTGAAACATTTGATCATTTGTATCCCTTGCGAAACGAATCTTCCAGTGCCTTGTCTGGGCATTTTCCCCTTCTAATTTAGTCTCCAAAGAAAAAAAATAACCAAGGAGTAATATAAGGTTTTTGAAATTTCTTTTTACCTGGTGAAAAATACGTTTAGGGAAATTAAGACGCCTTCAGATTTTTTCCATCGTCTGTTTTCCAGATAGGTTCTTCTCACGAAAAATGGCGTCAAGGCATAAATTTATCTCGATTATTTTTTTATATATATATATATATATATAATATATATATATATATATATATATATATATATAAATATATATAAGGACGGGTGTATAATAGATACAAATGTTAAATTGGAGTAATGAATAGTGAAAGAAAAACAAAGGGTTTCGTTTTGTGTGTTAGGCTTCAGACGCGTCTGTGTGTGTGTGGAACGGTGATTGGTTAACTGATTTTATTTAGCGGCATATCAACCCCTATTTTATGACTTATTTAATATATATATATATATATTTTAATTGAACAAAGACAAACGAAGAAAGGTTACCACATAATCAGTGACTATATAATAGATAATAAAGTGCACGGAGAGAAAAGGTTTAAATTAATTTTCGGACATTTACTATAGTCTTCTTTTATTACTTATTTTTATACCAAAAACTTTTGATCCCTTTCGAACTCTCATCTGGGCTAAAAAGGTATGTTTTTATACGGTTCCTATTTTCTTTGAGATTTCTCGGATTTGTAAATTTTAAAAATATATCGTTAAAATATTAAAACCTATAAAATAACGTTTAAACGAAGAATATATATATATATATATATATATATATATATTTTATTGTTTTAGTCTGGTTTAGTGTTTGATTGTCATTTTAAAAACTAACTAAGTTTTAGATGCACAAAAAGATGAATAAGGATCGAACACTTTTAGTTGTAACTGATCTAGCGAGACAAGCTTGCTAACCATTACAGACGCCGGGTTAATGAATATTAGAGAATATATTGCATATATATATGATTAAAACAAAAAAACACATATATATATTATAGGAGATATATCTAATATATATATATATAAGAATTATATATAAAATAGTATTATATATAAAATGTATTATTATATATATATATATATATATATATTTATATATTATATATATATATATATTTTATACAAATATTTAAATTGAAATAGTGAAAGAAAACAAACGTAGGTTTTCGTTTTCGTTAGGCTTCAAAAAACGGAATGGTGATTGGTTAATTGATTTTTATTTAGCGGGCATTTATTTTTTATGTAGTTTATTTAAAGATATCTATTTTATGGCTTTGACTCAGATAATTTGCACATAGTTTTATACATTTAGGGCAAAGGTATGTTTTTTGTTGCTATATATTTTGTAGATTTTAAAAATATATCGTTGTTAATTTCACGATGAAAAAATATGTTTTATACAATTGTCAAAAACACATTTTATTAAAAAGGACGCAGTCAGAAGGGTTAATGAATATTAGAGAATGAATATAGAAAATGAACAAGAATTAAGAAAATAGTATTTCTATAAAAATGTCTTGTTAGTCATTTTATTATAAAAATTTACTTTTAGTTATTTTATTTTGAAAATATATCGTTGGTCATTTTTATATAAAAATGTATTATTGGTCATTTTCTTACAAAAATGTATTATTGGTCATTTTCTTATAAAAATATATTGTTGGTCATTTTCTTACAAAAATATATTGTTGGTCATTTTCTTACAAAAATATATTGTTGGTCATTTTCTTATAAAAATGTATTATTGGTCATTTTCTTATAAAAATATATTGTTGGTCATTTTCTTATAAAAATGTATTGTTGGTCATGTTATTATAAAAAATGTATTGTTGTCATTTTCTTATAAAAATATATTATTGTTCATTTTTCTTATAAAAATATATTGTTGGTCATTTTCTTATAAAAATGTATTGTTGGTCATTTTCTCATAAAATATATATTATTGATCATTTTCTCATAAAAATGTATTGTTGGTCATTTTCTTATAAAAATATATTGTTGTTCATTTTCTTATAAAAATATATTGTTGGTCATTTTCTTATAAAAATATATTGTTGGTCATTTTCTTATAAAAATGTACTGTTGGCTATTTTACTATGAATATGTATTGTTGGTATTTTTAATTATAAAATATATTTATAATATTCCGAACTGTTTAAGAATTGTTAAATAATATCAGTCGTCGTGTATATTAGGGAATGCTGGGCAACCTCCTCACGGATGAGGAGGAGACTTGAAGCAGCAGAAAAGTTCTACAGAAGGATGCTGAGGATACCATCGACCGAACATGTGAGCAAAGACGAAATTTTAGAGAAAATGGAAACAAAAAGGAAACTGATATTTAACATCAGGAATAGACAGTTGAAATTTCTAGGAGACATAATGAAAAAAGCAGGTTTGGAAAATATGATACTCACAGGACAGATTAAAGGCGAGAAGGACAGAGGAAAACAACGCATGACCTACTTAGAAAGCTTGATGGCGGAACTGCGTTTAGAAGAAATAACAAAAAGACAACACTATTTACATTGTCCAGAGTATCGTCTTCATCTTTGTTGCTATATTTATCACAACGTTTCGGCCGTTCTACGCTCCGGCCTTCTTCAGGTGGCTGTAACTGAAACCTTTATTTCGCTCTAATGAATGTCAGTTATTAGTTATCTCCTGTTAAATCCCCTCTGCCTTATCGAACTCACAATTCTTTGGGTCCTGTCACTGGATCTAACCAACGCCTTTATCCACTGTGCCATGTGTCCTTGAGGACATCAGGGTATTAATTTTGGGGACTTATAAACCTAATGTCATCAGCAACAATTTTTACCAGTGCTCATATTGCAATTTTTACTGTTATCATTGTACGTTTTTTACCAGAGCTCATATTGCAATTTTCATTGTTATTAGTGCTTTTCTCTGGCACACCTTATTTCTGGTTACCATACTGTTTTCATTTCTATTCTTGGTGCAAGCATAGAAATTAATTCTAACCACCTGAAGAAGGCCGGAGCGTAGAACGGCCGAAACGTTGTGATAAATATAGCAACAAAGATGAAGACGAAGTCCGAACAATGTAAATAGTGTACATAATACCTCATCTCAGAAATATAGACAAAAACACAACATCTATTAAGAGCTACGAGAGAGAGGAAATTGTGGAGAGCCATGACCGCCTACGTCCTGAAGTGACATGGCACCCAGAAGAAGTACATCTCTATATTTCTGAGACTGCTCGGATTGGTTTCCTCATTTTTAATGTTATATCCCCGACGTTTCGACAGTTGTACACCCCGGCCTTCTTCAGGCGATATATATATTAAAGTATATCTTCTGACTTATGCTAGAGAATACAACGAGCCAAACGTCGGTATAATGACAATTAGAATGAAGACAACAGTCCGAACAGTGTAAATAGAAGAAGTGATTTTTTGCTGAGGTGGGGTCACTATTTTCACATAGCTGGGACCCTAAGCGGTGATAACCCCTCACCCGGTCAGGGTGTACCTGGGAACAGCAACAATTAAAAGAGAGCAAGTTCGACGCTCCACAAAATATCCTAATCTCCGGTTCAGAAGACTTACGGCCGGATGTAGTTTATCGTCATACTCAAGACTTCAGAGAACGTTAAGGACGGAAGCTTGTGAAAAGATGGCACAAAAGAAGGAATGCTGGGATGGGAAGCGGAACGAACCATCAGACAGACTGAAAAGAAAAGAAAAAGAAAAAAAAATTAAAAAGGTTAGCGACAATGAAGAAGAGAATTTTCGGTCGAAAGGAAACGTGTGGAATTTCCACGAGAAGAAGGTAATGGGCGGGAAAAAGAAATTTTCCGTTTGCAATCAGGAAGGGAAACAATTTCATCAAAACGGCGAATGTAAGCTGCGTGTGAAAATGGCCGACAATGACAAACATTGGATGATTACAGAGACGGAGTAAAGAAGAGAAATCTGTGATTAAGATTTTTTTTTCTTTTTCTTGCCTTTCCTTTATTTTTTAATTTATCGGTTGCACTTAGTCAATCAAAATGGCGACATTCCGAGAAAAAAAAAAAAAAACGCTTTTAGTATTTTCATTAAACGTTAATCATTGCATAAAATAAAATTTGAAATATGTCTGCATGCAATTCTGACTTTTGAAATATAAATTGTCGTCTGCGGACTATTTTTGAGGCAATTAAAAAACCACGAGACAAAATTGATCGGCTATTACAAGTAATATTTTGAACAATTATTTAAGGTGTGGTCTTCCCCGCTCTGAGGAATATAGAAGCGTGTAAGGAGCCGGTGAATGACGCACCAAATTAAATTTTTATTCTGATTGTCAATAGAATAAGAATCAAAGATGGAAAAATTTGCAGTTAGAAAAAAAAATAAAACAAATTAAAATTAACAACCCCAACCCTCCAAAAAAACAAAAACCAAAAAAAAAAATGAGTTATCCAGTCACTAAATGTAAGGGTCGACAATGGAAGACATTTTTTTTTTCTTAATTACAAAGCTGAACGAATTGACTGAGAATTCATAGTTTTTGTTATTTTTATTGTCAGTTTTCTTTAAAATTTGGGGAAATGCTCAGGTCGTTTTCACACTCTACGACAGTTAGGTAATCTGAGAAATAAAAGAGCTTATTGTATTCTTGAAATCTTCTATGTATATCTATCTATCTATCTATGTATCTATCTATCTATCTATCTCACTGTATACATATATATATATATATATTATTTCTATATATTTGCAATATCTATCTATCTATCTATCTATTATCTATTCATATCTATCTATCTATCTATCTCTCTCTCTCTCTCTCTCTATCTATCTATCTATCTATATATATATATATATATATATATATATATATATATAGATAGATAGATATATATGTATAGGTAACTATACTCGTCTCGAAAAACCTTCAATTTCCTGACGATCCGATTAGGTGAAACCTGGGTAGCTTTGTCTGGCTCACTAGCTTTGACTATATATATATATATATATATATATATATATATATATATATATATATAT